GATCCACGTAACATATAAAACAAAGTAACAGCTCAGTGGAATAAATTTATGATGACCCGAATGGCGTAGTGGTTAGTGTACCTGCCTCCTGCGCCAGGGGGTGTGGGTTCGATCCCCACTAATGGAAAAATATTGTGTGATGAACATAGTGTTTTTCTAGTGTTTGGAACTAGAGAACCTTGTGTAAAAATGTGTCCTAAAATTGTTATTTATTATTAGCTTTTCGCCCACGGCTACGCTCGCGTTGAAGCCCTTAAATAAATATCTTTCTTTACCCTTTCAACCCTTTACAACACTTTTTTCCTAAAAAACAGCCTTATTAAAAAACAGCCTATGTCCTTTCTCAGGCTCTAGACTATCTGTGTACCAAAGTTCATTTAAATCGGTTCAGTAGTTTTGGCGTGAAAGCGAGACAGACGGACAGAGTTTCTTTCGCATTTATAATACTAGTATGGATTTATTTATGAATGAGTATTTTCTCCTTCTAGTTCCTTACGCATTAAATCTAACTCAATTACTGTTGACGCAAAGGATTTTTGTTTTTTTTTCGACAGGGTGGCAGGTTAGCAGACGGTCACCTGATGTTAAAAGACGACCCGTTGCCAACCTTTAAAATTGTGGACCCCGGTTACATTGCTCCCCAGACAAAATGCAAAAGTGTCGCACCTCCACATCCCGCCGATCTTCTACGAGGCCATTATATCACGGACGAGCCTATTCAACTTAAGTTTAACTTTTTTTAAAACATTGCCCTTAATTTAGGATGACATTATTCTGTGTTGTAGGTACGTTTTACAAACATAAATTTCACGCGGACAAACACCCAGAAGCGAAATAACTATCTGTGAGTCACACAAATAGTTGTCCCTTGTGGGAATCGAACGCACGACCCCCGACGCCGACGCCTTACCTTACCTTGGCAACTGCACCACAGAGTAATCGAATCTTTTCATTCGTGAAACAAAAATCTGTTGCATGGATCCAGCACAGTACGCCTTTTCTTTTATGTGGGAAAGTGGTCAGTAGACTGGCCACTTAAGGTTATTTGATAACCTCCACCCACTGGTACCTGCAACACCCGTATGGTTGCAGGTTTGCCACCTTTGCATAAAGAGAACCCCGGCTACTCACCAAAACGCAGAAGTGTAACATACACTTCGGTCTTCTGTGAGGTCGCCGCACATCCCCGGACAAGCCTGTGTAACTTCCACTTCGGTCTTCTGTGTCGCACATCCCCGGACGAGCCCGTCCATCCATGCAACAGCAAAGACTGCTGCGTGGCCCAACCACATTTATTTAACTTGCGGTATTCACCAATTTAATACATTCATTCTCTGGCTTGTTTTTTATGCATTTGTTTACGTTAGCTATAACTACGATAACTATACGCACTCCAGGGTACAACCCGCTTACACAGAGCGTTTTGTATATATAAAACCGTAATGAGTTGCTTTATGCGTCTGTCACCCTATTTATTTTAAAACTAGCTTTTCGCCCGCGGCTTCCCTCGCGTTGAAGTCCTTAAATGAAAATATGTTTCTTTAAAAATTATATATTTTAAATAAAGATATTTTCAACCTTTTGTCCTCTCAAGCTCTAGACTATGTGTGTACCAAATTTCATTTAAATCGGTTTTGTCGTGAAAGCGAGACAGACAATTACTTTCACATTTATAATATTAGTATGAAACTATGGATTTTGAAAGTGATTGGTACAAAACGAGGACGAACACAGTACTAGACGGCGCTTGTATTTCGTATTGCACAATGGCAACAACAAAAAATAAACAATTCGTACCGCAAAAGGAACAAGAGGCAATGGGTATAACTTTTCAAGAGCATCTTGAAGAGCATCTCGCATTACAAATTGTACATAATTGCGATGAAAGTAACAATGCCTTTGAAGGACACTTTTCTACGTGTCCAACCACGCGTGCGCTCATCGCCGAATGAAGAAAGAAAGTGAAGTATTTCGAGCACCCTCAACGTCATCGACCTGGCAACACACGAAACGAATTCACGTGAAATTAAACACAAAGCAACGGTTTTAAGATTCACAATCGTGTGTGCCCATTCAGCTATGGTTTTTATAATCGGTGACGTAATAGCTTGGGCGAAGGACACTTGCACTTTAATACGTAAGGTCTACTTGGCCGTGTTTTATTCGATAATTACAAACTGTAGGGCTGCATCTTTAAGCGACAATTCGATAGTAGCCGTTCAACATGGTATTTTCTTAAACATGGCGCTAAAAGGAACCAGGACGTCATTAGGTATACGTAAAAACATCGTCTTTTAAATTTATAATACTCATTAAAACTATGTGTAGATATTCGATGAGAAATCGATTTTTTCTTGATTTACCATCGAAGATATAATTATACTTATATAACAGTAAGAACTCATTAGGATTCAAAACCTTCTATTAAATTAAATAAAGAGGTCCTGGTGTTTTGAAAAAATGAGCCTTTTACCTATTTCAATTTTAACAAAATTGTACTTAAACATACATGTGATAAATTCGTTAAAAGATAAATTTTTACACGTTAAATATCACAAAAATATTTCTTTTGTGAAATACCACTGTACTATGTTTATCGAAAATAAGATATTCTGACGGTCATCTATTCGCTTGTCTGATGGACACCTGGCAACCCTGACAAAACCTATTTGGGTCGGGATCCGCCATTGTTACTTGGCGCCAAATTCACGTCACCGTAGCTGTGGACGCGTCGCTCGCACAGGACTAAACAGTGTAATAGTTGTTTTTCCGCCTACGCAATTTTGTCCTCTATTTTTTTTAATATTACAAGCTTTTTCAACAGTACGACAATTTTTTTGCCAGCATCTTATGGGAACGCAATTGCATTATCTTATACCTACATTATTATGCATACCATTAAAAAAATACCTCTTTAATTTATTGCTACGCCTATTGCCTTGCTATCATTCTACTTGCTGGTTCGTATGGCAGATACTCATATGGCAGACGGAAGGAAAGACGGACGCGGGAAGGATGCGATTTTCTGTGTTATGGTCATAACTTGAGATTTTGTGTTACTTCCTGTTGACTGGTAACACTCTCTCTTGCCATCTCTTCGTTCAAGGTGTAAACGTGTTCCGAATAAAGGTGATTATTACTTATTTATATCATATTTAATTGCAAAGGCAGTTACAAGTATTTCACACAAAACAATGCTTCAAATAACATAAGTAACATTTAGCTCATCAATATTTACGACTCATTTGCGCGCCCAAAGACTTTAAGATGTAGACGTTTCCCTATTTGATTGCGGGTGAAATTTGGACTCTGCTCCTAAGGTCATCGAATGTTTCAGTTACTGAGGGCTGAAGATACCTATGTAGCCTTACAGTAGGCGTTAAAATAAATGATATAACCATTAGTACCTGGAGGAGCGAGCTTAGCTCGGTTTTTTTCGGTAAATCATGTATTTTGGAAATAATAAAAAATAAAATAAAGGAAATGATCTGGTATAGAAAAAAAAGTAAAAAAAATAAGTGTGTAAATGATTGTGATACGAACCGCGGCCGTCTGTTTTGAGGCCGCCCGATTCCCGATATATATATATACAAGAATTGCTCGTTTAAAGCATAAGAAAGAGAGATAATAAACAGTGCCTTTGCAGGTAACAAACTAGTTTTCATAATTCTAGTCTCAAGTAACTGGTAGTTGACTAGAATTCTATTTCTATTGACTAGAGACCTAGAAAAAGACATGAATAGTTCAAATTGATTGTCTGTCCAACGGAAAGCTGGTTGAAGGCTGAAGTTTAGCGTAAACGGTTAATCGTTTCGTTAAAAGTAAAAAGAGCATTTACGGTTGCAACTTCTGGACGAAATACTCTCTAATGTAATTTCTCTAAGCTCGAGTGAGTTATTTTGAACATGTTACTTTGATATGTTCAAAATAATCCATTTCATATTATTTTTTACTTTTTTAAATCCGCGTTAGGTGCCGCGATAGCTTAGTGTCCGGGCGCTCGCTTATATAAGCTCGCTTAAGTACTCGAGCAACCTGAGTTCGAATCCCGGTGCCGACGCGAAAATGTTATTGATGAAATTGTTTATTTTAAAAGTGCTGATTTATCACGTAATCAGCAGTGAAGAACCTTCTATTATTAACAAAAAAGAAATATTTCTAAGATCACATGTCTGCCAATCAGCAGTGGGGTCGCGTGCTGGTATATGAACCCAGAACCCTTTACAAAGGAGTAAATTTGTGTGGGATATATATATATACTGGTACTTTACTATAAATCCGCTCAATTATATATGTATTTGTATATATGGTATGTATATATTTATATATTTTGTATGTATTTATATGTATATATTTTGTTAGCCTTTTGTATATACATTTATTTATTTACATACATATTTATAAATATCTTATTATGAATTATGATTGTAGATAAGTATTTTTTTTTTTTCATTCATTTAGTTAACCCACACCTTTATTCCTAAATTATTTCTTTTTAGTCCATCCAAAGGTTGCCTGGAAGAAATTACTCTTAATAATAAGGCCGCCCTTGTACCCATTACTTCTACATTAAGTTTTAATTGTTGTTTGTTTTATTTTTGGTGTGCAATATAGTATATTCATTCATTCATTCAATTACTCGGGTCGACAAGCATTCGTTTCCATATTCTACATTGCATTTTTTTCTGCTATACCAGAAAACCGTAGCTTTATGCTGAGCTGACTACAGTGACTACCTTTCGGTCGTAGCATACACCAACATTATATTTAATCATTATTATTTAATAAATCTATTTAAATTAGTTTTTTTTTTGTTCTTATTATATTCGTCGTTTTTTATTTTTCAAATGGTATTTGTGAACGTATTTCTATTTATATTCTTTTCTTTAAAACCTTAATGAAAATTCACACAAAATGGAAGTTCAAGCGCCACAAACGCTATGTTGCATTAAACAAATGTCCCCATAGAAAGTTCTGCCACTTCTCACCCCAACACGAACCCCAGTTCGCGAACCGTGGCCGCCGTGGATGGAAAATGGATTCGTTGGCTCGGGCCTCCCCCTGTCCTCCCGATTTGCGGCGCGGCTAAAATTATCTAAACTGGAACGGGCGGGCGGGATGCTCGTAACCGGATAGCCCTTACCCCCCCCCCCCCCCCCCCCCGCGAGCCCCGCGCGCCCCTGCCCGCTGCGGGGTAACGCGCAACGTATGCCCGCTCAATACGAGCCCGGATAGATAAAACCGCGGTATGCGAGAGTGAACAATGAGACATGGACATTTTTATGAATGAAACTGTGTTTTCCAGTGGCAGTGGCAGAGCCAGTAGCTGTGGTCTGCTGTTGCACGAATGGGCAGGCTCGTCTAGGCAGGAGTGAATAGGACTTTATTTGGCTAGCGCCCTAACCATCAACGGCTGCATTCAACTTACCGTTAGGTGAGATGGCAGTCAAGCACTGGTCAGTTTCGAGTGAAAAAAAAAAAAAGGAAAACGCCCGTGCGTGGAGAAGTGCAACGATCTCACAGAAAACAGGTGAAAAGTGGAGGTATATTACGCCTAGTGAGTGAGGTAACCAGAACCCACTTTTTAACCGACTTCAAAAGGAGGAGGTTTTCAATTCGATTTTTTTATGTTTGTTACCTCAGAACTTTTGATTGAGTGCACCGATTTTGATGATTCTTTTTTTATTTAAAAGCTGGTGCTTGCCATGTCGTCCCATATTAATTTCATTGATATTGGATCTTGGGCTCCAGAAATACTTAGGGAACTCCTAAAAAACATTAGTAAAACACAAAGCCGTGGAGACGGAAACAATTACAATATTATTCGCTTTGCACTCATTTTACGTATTCACACACGTAATATATTTATTATTTTGCAGAATGTATACTTTGATATTTAAGATTATTTAGATTTTTTATATTTATTTAAGTCTTATACTTGACATATAAGTACTTCAGCAGTAATTGAAAAAATGTATTTTGATGGACTTTATTGTTGTCTACTACATTAATTAGGGTATTTTATTATGTATAATTTGTTGGATTACAATTAATAATAGCGACGTTGGTTCTTAGCCGCATAACCTCTTCCAAGCAAGGTGCAGATCCCAGCGGGCGAGTACAATCACTTACGCAATTGTTTAAACAATGAGCGTAATAAAATATCGTATTACCGAAATAAATGAGCATCGGAACAACACGGGCAATATGCTATTGTGATGCACAGTAAGAGGGGTGGTACAGTCGCGTTGCCCTTTTTTATCTTCGCATCGGGGTTGGTTAATTATGAACAACGCTTTATACGCAGACTGATATAATTTTAGGCTATCTTTGTTCTGCAATTGCAGCTCGAAAAGAGAAAGTTATTTTCGTTTAATATTAAACACTTTTATTCTTAGATCTAGATCAATACCTATTTAATTTAAAAGAGTTTCTAAACTTTGAAATGCGTAGATAAAACGGTGGCAAAATTGGTGTTCTTGAATGAGAAAGGATAGAAGTTTGAAAGTTAAGTTTCTTATACGCATTATATAGATTACGATAGTGAAGGATTATTCTTTATTCTTCTCGCGTTAATGATATTTTCCACAACTGGAAATACTATTGTGAGATCACTTCTGAAGTTAATACAGACGCTGTAATATATCTTGAGTAGTATGATAGCATTCTTTGTGGCTCTTAATAATGGAGCATTACTTTCTATCATTCACAACATCACAGTCTTGTGCTGATGCTGGGCGTTTTATTTCAATTTTCATTATCAATTTATGCAATCACCTTCGTCAGGAATTCCGTTTCTATAGATACGGCTTGAACCTTAATATACGCTTATCTGAGAGACTGCAGTGTCGTTGCTGGGTAACAATTTTGGCTTTAAGGTCTCCTAACACTGGCCAGTGCGTAGAAGCCATGCATCTATATTATTGCCTTTAAAATGATGTCCACGCGTATGTCCAAGCGATGAGTTGCTTACACTACTTCGTAAAACTCCATTTAAGATTGTTTCTACATACGGCCTACTAAAGAAGTTTCAAGAACACATTCATCGAATTTCCACTTTCACAACATTCGAAAAAATTTAATTCATCCAAAAATACGTATTATACCGCCACTACCGCTCACAATCATTAATCTCAGCACAAGCTGCCGATCTGCACAAACTCGAATAGCTATTGAACAATGGGAAGTAATATCTAAGACCCAACGTCCCATAGACAGTGAATAAAAAATCAAATGCAAAATGTTTATCTCGAAACAGTCTGAAGGGATTAGGCGAAATCCGTTCAAACGAGCGTAAGGAGCGGGCGAAATATAAATAATTAACAATGGCATTGCTCGACCGTCGTCGCGACGGCAAACAGACTGGCGAACAAAACGGATTATCCATGTGTTGTTAATGCGGACGCCGCCGTCTAGCAGCAGTTTTGGCGCCTACTCGCTTTCCACAGATAACCAATTACGCTGCGTTAGGTTTACTTTTTTTTACGCAAATACTGGCCAGATACTTCCGCAGCTAAACTGGATAATTATAGTCATTAGTTTTATTCTTAATTCGGATTGCAGCTCTTAATTCCATCAAAATCTATATTGCTTACTTTGTTACTTCCCGTACTAAATTACATATTTAAGTTTTTGCTTTTTGTAGCCGTAATCCACTACTATTCACAAAGATCTTATTTAATTTGGTTTCTGTTAGATACCTACACATTATTTTTAGGTAAAACTTTAATATACTCTTTAAGCTTCTTGTAAAATAAAAAAGGTATTCTCTTAACACTTTGTGATTGTCACAAATCACTCTTTGGGCGTATTGTTATAGTAGACAATTTAAATTTCACGAAGGGCAGCACCGCCCGCAGTCGCAATTAGTTTTTTTTTTCTCTTTCCCATCGGGCGCAGAAACCACCATTCCGCCTGATTAGAGTTGTGAGGAGGCCTGACGTAATGCAAGGAGCCAAACGCGTCGGCCACACAACCGGGGGTCGTGGCGGGAAATTAACCCAAATCCAATTTAATGGCGGTTTGTTGTTAACTAGTGATGTGTAAGATTTCATGTGGGATGCCCTTTGATGCCTTTGTTTGTGGTGTCGATAGATATATTTTTTGTTCCTCTGGTAAGTGAAATTAATCAATTGAAAAAGGAAAAATTTGACATCATTGAATTACACAAATTTTATTTATTAAATCCTTGTTATCTATTATAAATCATGAATTGCGGTTTAAAAATAATTCAAGGCGAAATGTTATTGAAATTTTATTAATGAAATTTGAATTAAACATTTTATGTGCAATTGTGATTATGTTAAAAAAAGCGAAAATACGATACTTCCACTTCGACGAATGGATGGGGTAACAGCAGAAGCTGCTGAATGGCCTCACCAAAAACCTAACCGAAAAGTTGGTAATGGATTTGCAACCACACAGGTGCTTTAGATGTCCACGGGCAGAATTTGAAACGATAATTGGAATCATCATCATCATTTCAGCCTGTTTGAGTCCACTGCTGAACATAGTCCACAGACTGCCTAGTTGGAATAATAAAATATAATTAATAGCCAGACTAATTCTTTGTCCGAGGTGGCCAGCTCTTCGGTCTCCTGTTATATCCACAAACCTTTTTGCTATTTCCTGCCATTATTTTCGGAACCTTGCCTAAAGGACACCTTTTAAAAATATATTTTAGTTATTATTTTATTTATTATTCCCCTGAACTGCCACGAGTATATCAAAACCAAAGTTAGCCAAATCGGTCCAGCCGTTCTCGAGTTTTAGCGAGTCTAACGAACAGCAATCCATATAAGATATAATTACATACTACATATTTATTTTGTAATAAAATATATCCATTAATATGATTCGAAAAAGAGCTGCTGACTTGAGACATTCATAAATAAAAACCTAAAAAGAAGTAAATAGGGAACAGGAATTTTCTTTGAATTGTGTAGAGCTTGATTATTATCTCATCTGACGGCATTTGACGTACGGTACCAGATCTATTCTTGAATCAATCACATTGTAATTTCATGAAAACATAGAAGCCGTCTTCAACTTTGCGTATAATAAACGTCTAGTTATAAAGTTTATAATCACTAAACAAAGTAAAGTGCAGTATAATTACTATGTCTCATCGCTAGACAAAGGCCTCTACAGTGTTTGAGTGGATTTAGATGAGTTAATAAATGAACATTCTTTATTGCACACACCATGACAAAAATAACTACATTAAAAGTTAATGGGCGGCTTTATTATTTAAAGTAAAACATTTGACAACACAACATTGCCATTTGAGTCAACCGTTTGCCTGCGACTCTTACGATCTCGTCTCTTACTTGTGTTATTGCGCATATGCAATTTCAAATTTCTGGTTGGCAATTCTTTACTACCCTACCCGATGGCGAGTCAAGCCCAGTAAAACCCAACTCACTCTCCATTTTAAGACACAAAACTACGCGTTTTCAAATGGCTAATTCCCTTCACTGCTTGCGTTATATACGCACACCGTTCCTGCTAATAATCCCGAAGAAGGTATTATTAGCAGGAACGGTGGCACTATCGATACTAAATCTAATCTTTAATTTCCATTATCGCCGATCTCTTTGTGCTTCCGATGGCCTGCAACTAGAGACAATGCATACATACAAAAGTGAAAACTGTCCTTGTATTCTATTCATCCACGTCCCTTTGTCGCGAAATATTTAAAAGCTGTAGATGGATATAAGCAGAGAGGTGGAAAATCAAGTTAAACAGAGCAGCTTTTAGAGGCACGCTTTTAAGATAAAACATCGAATTTGTTAACTCGCCGAAAGTTTCTAAAGTTTGCTATTGTTATTAAAAAAACAGTGTTTGTCTGTGTTTCTTATCATTTCAACAATTTAATTTATGTGCATACATCAAAAAGAACGAAAATATATAGCACATAACATATGTCCATACTAATATTATAAAGGCGAAAGTTTTTACGTATTGATGGATGTTTGTACTCTTTAACGCAAATACTACTGAATGGATTTTTTTTAATATGTAAAAAGTTGCCAAGCGAGCAGACGGTTCACCTGATGTTAAGTCAATACCGCCGCCCATGGACATCTGCTACACCCGAGGGTTGCAGATGCGTTGACAACCTTTTGAAAATTGGGCTCCGGCCACCTCACTCACCAGACGAAACGCGAAAGTAATATACTTCCACTTTAAGCCGGTCTTCTGTGAGGTCGTGGTACTTACCCGGGCGAGCCTGCCCATTCGTGCAACAGCCGAGGCTGCTGCGAGGCTCTACCTCAGTGAAACAATTTAATTTTTAATGAAACTTTACAATAATATAGCTTATACATCAGAATAACACATATGCTTTAATTTATATACATATTTTTATGCATATTTGTCTTTCTCTCTGAATGTCATGCCTTCAGCCTATTTCTTCTATTAAACCCACGTCAATAATTAAAGGAGGTTCAGAATTCGTTTTTATTTTTTCATGTTTATTACCTCAGGATTCCTTCATTTATAAACTGTTCATTAGTATTGGACCTTTGATTTAGAAGCTCTTCAGAATTCAATAGGAAATGTATAGTAATGGGAGATATTTCAAGTCGGTAATATGGTTTCTTGTTAAAAAAAAAATCTTGTGTTTACTGAAGAGAACCCTTGATTTTAGTCACAAATTCTGTCTTTGCTCAGATGTTCTTATTCATATGTGATTTTTTGTATTTATTTATTTATTTTATGCGAAAAGTTGTCAAACGTGCAGACGGTTCACCTGATGTTAAGTGAAAACCGCTGCCCATGGACACTGCCTAACCCGAGGGTTACAGATGCGTTGACAACCTTTTGAAAATTGGGCTCCGGCTACCTCACTCACCAGACGAAACGCGAAAGTATTTGTCATACTTCCACTTTACGCTGGTCTTCTTTGAGGTCGTGGTACTTACCCGGACGGGCCTGCCCATTCGTGCAACAGCCGAGGCTGCTGCGTGGCCCTACCACCGTTTACGTAAGGACAAAACATTTGATTTAAGTGCTATAACAATTAATGTCTATATATATATATATATATATATATATTGTATGTGCTTTACTTCATATTATATACTTATTCGTGTGTATATATTGTTTATATGTGTATGTATTGAATAATTTGATGTAATAATTGGACCTACAATGATTTTTCCCGCCCCGGGTTGAATGGGAGAGAATGCCAAAGACACTCATATGTAATTCTTGTTTATAGTATTTAAGGATAAATAAATAAATGAATTTAATCCATTTTATATTACTTAAATTAAAGAAAAAAATTTTTCCGAAAGCTTTTAATGGTTAAACCAACATGGCGGTTTTTGTCTTTGGTAGCAATCCCCTAGGATGTCCTTTAGCCGCGTCCGGCAGGGCAGGACTTAGAGGTCTGGAGGCCACGGGTCAACGAAGTTGTGGAGGCCCTAAATTATTTTCCATTGATTGATTTGTGTTAATATTTAATTAATGTTTGTACAAAATACTGTAGGTAAAGGTAAAATGCGAAAAAAAATTTGAACGAAAAGTTGTTTACTATTCTTTACTAGTTTGAATTCGAAACTTTTTCCTAAATCCGGCCCTGTCCGGAAATGTCCCATTAGACTGGTTCTCGTGGCGACACGCAAAAACATTCGGAGTCGCCAAAATCTCGCCAAAACTGTTGTCTTAGGACGGTTCTGTTTGCTAAAGGCGACGGGCGGTTGCAGAAACGTTTTATAGAAAGTGACATCCCTTTCGCTAGTTGTCAGAACTCGTGACGTTTTGTATCTTGAAAATTAAATTCAGATAATATCGAAAGCGAACACAGAACGCGTTCTTCGCACTTTGCCCTCGCTACAAAGATTAATTTGGTAAATAGTTTTTCTTTTAAGTTATACTTCATAAAAAATAAGGAGTAAAGTATATC